TATTATTATTATTTACAAACTAACAAACTCACCAGCGACATAGGCCCACAGAATCAAGACAAGAGCAGGGAACATGTTGAACAACAACCTGAAGACCACAGATGTGTATTGCCCTCTTCACAATCTGTCCTCTTTCAGACTGGCTTTATAAAGATAAGCCGCTGGTTAACCCTTTCATTTCTGAGATATACCAATCTACAATAAAATTAATTCTTTCTGCAGCCTCTCTACTGCTACTCCTTGGCTCCTTCTTACTACTGTCTCTCAGCCACACCCCTGATCTGATGGTTAGTAAGATCTGACACCAAGCCTTCTAGGATAAGGGCAAAAAATCTCGAACGTCCTTTCTGCAAGTTGCACAAGTCAAATATCCCTTGGAGCTCATTAAATGGTCGCTTTTAAGCAAAAGGGGGCTATCCCCAAAAATGCTTTTTTTGAGAAAATCGAAGTTAAAGTTTTTGCCCATTGTTCATTTTCTTTAAAAGACAATGACAGTTTTCTCTATAACTAAACCTCTTGTGTAGGTAGGGCAATGCTCACTTTTGGTGTAGGTCAAGATTTCGGGGAAACCCCCAAAATCTGGGTTAACTCACTTTTCCTTAGAAGGGATCAAATAGATAAAAGAAGGCTTTGACCGCCTCCTGGGCAAAAGAAAGCTCCTACTAAACTGAAAATGTTTTAGGGATTTTTTTTTATTAAGCTGAAAATATACTGCCACGCACAACTGAAGCGCGCAGCGAAGCGGGCGAGCAGCTAGGTCAGAAGTTGTGATCGCATAGGTCAAAAACTCATTTATTTAAAAAAATCCAAGCAAAGGTGTCTGGCTCGATGCAGCTTCGTATTTTTTTTGGGGTGTAATTTGTTTACTCTAGACAAATGTAAATGTAGTCAAACACGGCATAAGAGATGAGATGTCTGAATTTTCTTTTAAAAAGTAAAAACAAAACCCAAAACAAGTTATGAACATTGAATATAGACGTTTGTGGCATGGATTTTGCCCCCTTTATTGAACTAAAAAAACATCAATTTCATTTTTATTAGGTCTGCATTAATTTTACTTTTTTAAATATTTAACTTTATTTTATCCTATTTAATCTTATTTCATTTTAATTTATTTTTTTCCATTTTACTTTGCCTTATTCCTTCATTTTATTTTATTGTATTGTATGTCTGTCTTCTTCTTCTTCAATTATACTTTATTTTATTCTGTTTCATTCTATTTTTTCTTATTTTATTTTAAAAACTTATCTGTAAAATCTGTTTTCATCTTCTTTTACTTTATTTTGATGTATTGTATTTCATCTTATCTGTTTTCGTATTTTTTCGTTTTACCTCATCCTTTTTTCCTATTTTTTGTTGTTGCTGAGTTTCATTTCGTGATGATAAGGATCAGTGTTGCAGTATAGAGCTGAATTCAGTCCCCTGACCCCTTATCTCATTAAGGGCGAAGAGGACACATGTATGTCCCACAGCTGCAGGTCAAAAGCAAAGTTGCAGGTTCTGTCGAACCATCATACAGACTAGAAACACAAGTTTGCTTATTAATAATAATATTATTATAGAACACATTATTGTTATCTGTCCTCTTAAGTACCTAATAAAGGAAAAAAAATTGGAAACTGTATTTGAATAACGAAACTATGCTTCTTTTACCATTCCGGAAGATCGTGTCTCCAAACGTTCAAAAGAACAGAATGCGTTCACAAACCAAATTTGTTCAAATTTGGTACATTGATACTCAATACAAATTTCATACAGTTCGGATCTTGGATATCTTGAATAGGAAAAAAAGTTACAGATGGATAACTGACCCACCCCCTCATGCCTCTGAATTCGATTACATATTCATCCATGTAGCTCACCCATGAATACATCGATTTTATTCTCCACTTCCTGTTTAAAATTAGGTTTTGGCATGAATGACAAGCCCTGAAAATTTCATTGGGATCAAAAATAAAATTAAAAAGTAGATGAGAAAAAAACATCAAAAATCGAAGTTTTGAAAAAAAAACGACGTTCGGTTAAACAATAGGCAACATGAAAGTTCTAGGACAGAAAATCTGAAATATGATGATTGTAACACAAAGTATAAGCACTTTTTAGATTTACAAGTGATTATAGTATTATAATACGTAAAAAGGTCTGGAGATGTTGTAGCCTATATTTATATTGAAACTGTATAACACTGAAAGTTTTAAACACTCAGATGAGAAGTTCACAATTCTATGATGGAACGCAGAGGGCATTTTAAAAAAGAAATGTGAACTTGACTGGTTGGTCCAGGAAGGACTCAAACCAGATATAGATCTAATAGCAATACAAGAAACAAACCTAAAATCGCATGTCAACTTCAAATTAAATTTTTTTTTCAATCATTCGAACCGATGCTAATCAATCAAATCTTGGACTGTCAATAGCTATCAATAACAAGCACTCTTTCAGAGAAATAGATAGGAGCAACAACGAAACAGGAAATTTTATTACAATTACAATCTGCCTTGAAAACGAAACGCAAAACTCACATAACTAATGTATACAGAAGAACTTTAGCTAATTATCAGAAAACGCGAATATTTTTAGAATCTATTGATACCACCTTATGTAACCATTTCATATTGGGAGATTTCAACAGTAGTCATACTCTATATGGGGTGATAGAATAAATCAAGCTGGGAATATTGTTTTAGACTGGATAATCAACAACAACAAAACGGTACATAATACAGGAAGTAACACAAGAATAGCTGAATAAAAATACAAATCATAAAGATTTTGCAATTGACCTCACTCTATCAAGCAGCCTGATAAGTAACAAAGAAGTTAATTGGAACGTGATGGGGGATGGTATGGGAAGTGATCACTTCCCGATAACAACCAGCTGGCAAGAAAAGAAGAAGACATCCTATTGCCCGAACAAAAAACTTATTTAAAAAAAAAAAAAGGCAAACTGGGATGAATTAAAAAACAAAGCAATCACGTGTAGATGGAAAGAACTAAAAAATGACAATATAGACGTATACCATGATAATATAGTTAAAAAAGTAACCGAAATAGCCAAACAAACAATACCTAAAAATGCAAACAAGACCCCAAAACCATTGCCAAAAAAGCAAAACATACAGTGTATTGGTGGAATGAGGAATGTAATCAACCAAAAAAGCAAAACACACAGTGTATTGGTGGAATGAGGAATGTAATCAGCCAAAAAAGCAAAACACACAGTGTATTGGTGGAATGAGGAATGTAATCAGCCAAAAAAGCAAAACACACAGTGTATTGGTGGAATGAGGAATGTAATCAGCCAAAAAAGCAAAACATACAGTGTATTGGTGGAATGAGCAATGTAATCAGCCAAAAAAAAGAACAGAATGAAGGCCCTGAAGGAATATCCAAAACATAAAACAGAGACAACTCTTAAAAGATACAGAGAGGCCAGAAATGTTGCAACCAGTAACATAAGGAACTTCAGGGAACAAGAGTGGAAAAACTACTGTATATCTATGAACATTGATACAAAAATTTCACAAAGGTGGAGAACTATACGTGCAATAGATGAAACAATTTAATATAAAATGCAAATGCGCTTGTCCTGTGAAATCACTTGATGGAAAAAAAAAACTTACTTCAAACACAGACATAGCTGAAACGCTGGAAAAACATTATCAGTTTGTTAGTAGTGATGAAAACCTAGGTGCATCTTTTAGAATTAAGAAATAAAACCATACAAAACTGAATCAACATCTCTTTCAAAAAACAAGAAAATGACGATAAAGAAGAAAATGTTGATGTAAGTTATAAAGAAATGAATGAAGTATTGAGAAAGAAAAAAAACAAAGCACCCCAGATCATGATTCCCTGACATATGAAATGTATGACCAATTACCACACAACGCAAAAATAGTGATAGTAGACTTCTTCAACAATATCTGGAATAAAGGTAAAATTTCGCTGGAGTTCAAGCACTCCACAATAATACCAATATTAAAACCCAATAAATATAAAAGCTAACCAGATTCCTATAGTAAGATCTCGATCACCAGTCATCTTGGAAAAGTTTAGAAACAATAATATATAAATAATCGACCCATCCACATCATTGAAAAAAAGAAATTATTCTGTGCCAACCAGTCAGGATTCAGAAGAAAAAGGCAAACACACGATCAACTATTGGGATTTACTCTTGAACTGGGAAGGTAACGGCAGCGGTTTTCTTGGATCTAGAAAATGCTTACAATCTACTATGGAAACAAGGAACCCTTGAACAAGTTATGAAAAAGGAGATAACAAGCAATAGATGTAATTATATAAAAGACTTTCTTTATGAAAGGACATTTCAGGTTTAAGTTGGAGGCCTATTATCTGAAATAAAGAGTCAGGAAAACGGAACACGTCAAGGGGCAGTTATCTCTCCAACACTTTATTGATAAACTCAGTAGGAGCAATAGAAGAAAAATGTCGCAGGATAGGAATAGGACAGTTTGTAGATGACACTGCATTGTGAATCAAAGCCAAACAGACCCCGGAAGGAGAGCAAGAAAGAATATCGCTTTCATTTTAAAAAAGCTATTGAAAATTCAACAAATGTCTTCATCGAGACTCTTACAAATCTTGTACTTAAAGTAAATATTAACAAAACCCAAGAAATCTTCCTTAACAAAAAAATTATGCCCAGATCTGCTGAGAAAAGGAACACATGTCCATACTACAAAATCAGTAAAATATCTAGGGGTTACATTTGATGAATTCCTTCAATTTAAGTTTAAGGAGCATATAGTTGAAAATATCAGAAAGATATCAACACCCGTAATATTTTGAAATGCACAGCAGTAAAATCTTAAGGGATAAATAGGACAATAGATGTTAGGTAGGAAAAATGGAGCAGACCAAACCAGAGCACCGGCCAACCTCCCATCTCCCTTTGTGTAATACAAGTCTATTCTTTTTTTTTTCAAGAGTGTAGAAAACTTTTCGTTTTTTTTTTCCTTGTTTAAAAAGCAAACAAAAAACTATCCAGTCATTTTTTCAGATGTCATGTAAACGAAAGCATTCATATCTGACAATCAGAAACGACTTTTTTATAGGTGTCTTTTGCGTCCCTATCGACACGGTTTAGATCAAGGTTTTTGTGTCAAGGCCAATAAAACCCCACCCACCCCATCCTTTCTAAAACTCTCTCTCTCTCTCTCTCTCTCTCTCCCTTTCTCTTAATCTCTTTATCTCCCTCTCTTTCCCTCTCTCTCCCACTCTCTCTCTCTTTTTCTCTCCTTTGCTCTCTCATACTATGTCTCTTTCTCTTTCTCTCACTCTGTCTGTCTGTC